TCATGCAGCGTTTACTACTGTCCTCCACCTCCACTATTGCCACGACCGGCACTGCATTTTCCTACTTACGCAAGCTGCACCATTGCTGCAGAGAACCAGATTAAGAGCATGGAGGTGAAAAGTGGCGGTATTTCAAGAAGGTTTTTTCCAGCGAGATTTAAGGGGTCATACAGACGGCTCTTCTGGTGGGGTTTCCGAGAGAAGAGTAGCTGTAGGTGGATTTGGAGACCAAAGGCTAATAAGGCGGAGGAATGCGGCCATTCATGTTCAAAGCTGGAGACTGCAGATAATCTCCGTTCAACTCCTCCCACTCCCACGGCGGGGTTTAATGGCTGTGAGTCCATTCTTCATGGTAGTACAACTGTTATGATCAAAAATCTGCCCAACATATTGAGGTTTTCCTCTCTCCCTCTCTTTGTATATCCAAAAAGCACTTCTAGTCCCTAGACTTTTTGCTTGAGAACTGTTCTGGAATGGCACTTGCCTTAATTTTTGCCAAATTCTTAAGCTCTGTAGATTAAGGTTTTCTTTTCTCGATAAGTAGTCCCAAAGTTTTTGAAGTTGCTTCAGCCTTCAATACTGTCCTCAGTTCTCAGTGACGTCTCTTTCCATTCCTCTATTTTGGCATTTGCATTTACATTGTATCTCTTAATATGCACGCATGCATGGCGACATATATGGATCATGGATGCATTTTTTCTCTTGCAAAATATTTACGTTAGCAAAGTCCCAGTTTTGGAATTTAAATGATTGTTGCTTGCAACATATCATGACCTCGAATCCTGTTTGTATTTCTTCATTAATCTACACACACTTTCTCTCTCCGTTGCATTTTGTTTTGTTTTTTCTTCTGAACTTGTTATCTGTACTTCATGTCAGTAGGGAGATGTTGCTGGGCTTACTTGACAAGCACTGTGCTAAGATCCAGGTGAGCTTCATCTTTCTATCTCATTTTCTTTCTTTCATGCATCCAGTTTTTGTTAATCTGGGTTTGTTTCAATTTCCTTCTGTTCCATCTGGTTCAGGAAAAGGAAGTTCTTCTTGCACGTTTCCGGGCATCCAACTTCGCTTGTGATACAGTCCATGGCTGCAGACGACATTCTCCAGATTGAAGGTTGAAACCGACTCCCCGAGTGGCAGAGTGAGAAAACACGAGACAACGACGATGACACCTCCACTTCTTCTTGTTTTCGGTGGCCATCTCTTCTCTCATCGGACTCCTTTGTCCATAGAATCCTCCATTCTTGCTTGTTCAGCAAAATGATCACCGTTGACAGGAGTCCGGCTTCTATCAGTCGCCGGTGATAGCAGTCTGGCTTCTATCAGGGCAGAGTCCAAAATACCTGAGGGGGTCGCCAGTGATGGCTGTTAATCACCGCCGGTTGAAAAGGGAGAGAGTGAGAGTGACTGGCGAAGGTAGAGTCCGGTGAGTCTCGAGCAGGAAGTGGAATGAAAACCAACGACATGAAGGATAGACTCTGTTTAATTCATTTTGCACGTATTAAACCAACGCACGAATTAAAAGACGCGTGGCGCGTCCTCATGCTGCGCGAGCGTATGTAGTGTGCCTGAACTGAAGCCGAACTCCTTATAACAACTAACGAGTAGACCTAGCAATTGAATTGGGTGGGTCGGGTTCGGGTTGAATCAAGACACTTTGGGTTGGTTTCGGGTTGGATCGACAAATGTTAAACTTAAATGGGTCAAATCGGGTCATTCCTAAAAATAATTGGAAATTTAAAAAATAAAGGAAAATACCAAAATACTAAAATTAAATGAATTATCCTTAAAATTCTAACAATAAAATAAAAAACTTGAAACATTAACGATTCAAAAAGTAAACGATGAAGTGTAAAGACTAAATAGTATAGATTAAAGAGTGTAAACTTTTAACAAAACATAAATAGTCGCAATTAGACCTGACAATCTGGTTGGCCCATGGCCTAACCCAGTTTTTTCTGGGTCGGATCAGATCGTTCTTACATTCAGGTAACTAAATATGAGACCTGAACTTTGTTTTATTGGGTTGGGTCAACTTTTTTCTAGGTCTACTAGCAAGCAACAAGGGAGAGCCGCTGAACAATGCCCCCATTCTCACACCTGGTGTTAGAGGTGACCATGTGTGGGTTTGGTTCAATTCCATGGCAGAACTTGGTTTCAAGTTTTTGGAACCGGAACCTACCCTTGAAGGTCAGTTCTAGCCTTGGTGGTTCTGCGGATGGTTCCAGGGTCTACCCGTGGAACCCTATTTTTTTATCTTGTAGTGTCCCCTTACCGTACCCTCTATGCTTCGATTATGTCTGGGCATTCTCTAATGAGAGAGAGAGATGGAGGGGTTCAAGCTTCAGACCTCTGAGAAGGCAACTTATATACATGAGCAGCCCAACATGTAGCACTTGTCATTTAGACTGCATCACGTCTTCGACCTTAATCCAATTAGAGAGATACACGTGTTCATTGTTTGGGACGATGGGATTGCTATGATGAGTTCACTACCTGTGACATGCAGAGAGAGAGAGAGACGGAGATAGAGGAGGATAGATAATAGATTGTTGCTGCTACGAACAATGGAGACGTAGAAGATGGTGAACAGTGGAGAAGAAGGCCGCTTCCCCTGCCTCCTTCCTCTTTTGGATGTTTCCTATACCCAAACCACCTCCATCCCTGCTTCTAGTGACTACTGACTACCCCCATCTAATTCTATAATCTATTCTCTCTAACATTTATTTCCACAAGAACTCTCTCATTAACTTTTTTAGGATTCAACTCACTTTTCCCGGGACCCTAAAGACAGAGAGATAATAAACCACCTTGTTGGTTAAAGTTCATTTTATCAATATGATCTTAGCACCCAAATAAAGGATTTTTTTCTTCTAAGAGGGTAGTTTCCTAGTGAATCTATCAATTACTGGGCTTCAAAAGTTACTCTTTCTTGGATTATCCCCTAGAGGTAGGGGATAATCCAAGAAAATACTGTTAATTATGGATATAAAATTGTATTTATAAAATACTGTAATTATTAAAAATATTTTATTTATAAAATACTGTTAATAAATTTAGTATTTAAATACTGTTAATTAAATTAATACTGTATACTTAAAATACTGTTAATTAATAAATATAGTATTTTTTGAWATAATGTAATTAAACATATTAATATTATACTACATTAAAAATTATACTTTAATTAACTAAATACAAATATACTACAATTAATTTAACATATACTGTATTAATTAATACTGTATTTAGTTAACAGTAATTTAAAATTAATTAATAGTAATTAATTACATTTAACATTAACTAAATGAAATACTGCATTTTTCTAATACTGTTAATTATTATTATTATTATTATTATTATTATTATTATTATTATGTTTTTATGGATATAAAATTGCATATATTTATTATACATAACATACTGTTAATTCATAAAATACTGTAAATAATTAATTAATACTATTAACTTATAAATACTCTAATTAATACTGTTAATTAAATGTTGTAATTAATACTGTTCATTAATAAATATAGTATGCTTTCAAAATACTGTAATTGATATTGTTAATTTATAAATACTGTAATTAATATTGTTAATTAATAAATATAGTATGTTTTTAAAGTACTGTAATAATTTAAATTATAGAAATACTGTATTTTTCAAAATACTGTATTTATCGATTAAATAAAATACTGTAATTAACACTGTTAATTTATAAATACTGTAATTAATACTATTAATTAATACTGTTAATAGAATCTAGTTTTTCAAAATACTGTATATATGTTATACATTTATTTATATATATAAAATACATATATATATATATATATATGTTATTTATTTATTTATAAATATATTATTTATATTGTATTTTTATAAATTTGTTATATTACTTATTCTTTTATAAAAACATGTATATATATGATGAAAATAATTAAAAAAATACTTGTATTTTTTGCTTTTTATTTATTTAAATTGGTATATTTTATTTTTCTTATAATAATTTGTTAATTTTTAAATAAAACAAGTTGGATCGGATTAAACCCATCTATTCAACTTATTGATAGGATTCAAATTCAAATCGAAGATGATAAGATCCGATGGAATCGAATCCGCCGTGAACAGTGTCAGATCGGATTCGGATATTCCCTTATTCAAATTTGTTCCGATCTATTTGCATCTAGGGCTGTTCACGGGTCGGGTTGGGTCGGTTTACTAAGGTTTTTCCATCCGACCTGACCTGGTCGGGTTACCTAAGATGGAAACCTTAACCGACCCAATGTTAAGCAAAACCGACCTAGTCGGTCTGTCGGGTTGGGTCGGTTTGGGTCAGTTTCGACTCTAAGTTCAACCATGCCCCCCATGGCCACCTAGTTTTCTGGAAATATATTTAAAACTGAAATATGTATTTTAGAAAAAATATATATATATATATATATATATAAACAAAAATATACATACAAATATATTGAAATATTTATTTTCTGGAAATATAT